TAGGGCAGGGCTGGGAGAGGGTGGGTGGGGGGATGAGGAATAGGGTGGGAAGGTTGAAGAGAAGTTTTGGAAAATATTTTTCTTTCTCTTAATAGGAGAAATATTTTTCTCCAATTGGAGGAAAATAAGTTCACGAAGAAAATATTTTTCAAAACATTTAATCCAACCAAACATGAAAAAATTGGAAAATATTAAAACATTTAATCCAACCAAACCTGGAAAATTGAAAAATATTTTCTTCATAATGTTCTCAATCTTCAATATTGGGAGATCAGTTCGGTTACAATCCAAGAGATTTTTAATCTATACAATGTTGTCTTGTAAGTGTAAGTTGTAACCATTACCTTTTACTAGGATCACTTGCCTCCGAATTCCAATGCTTCATAATAACTAATTCCTCACGATCAACTTGTCAACGTATTATGATTCTCCAATTTGGGCCACAACTTGTGTAACCGTAATAATCATATTAAATCAAATTACACTATTAAATATTAACATTGAATTTGCTACTTACGCTAGTGGCCTAGTGGGTATAGTTTTGCTAGCTGCAAAATAGGAATACATAAGTTGTGAACTATTTGACTTTACAAAAATACCACTCTCCCCTGTTCAAAATAAGTATCGTTTTAGTTAAAGTAATTTGGTCCAAAATAACTGTGATTTTAGAAGACTAATAAGGCATTAATTTTTTTCTAATCTATTCAGACTCCAAGAAATGATATAAAAAGTCTGAGGAGAGAGAGGGTAATTCGATAAGATATAAATAGTCAAATAATTTTTATGATTAATGCTATAAAATAAATTGATTAATTGTTGTGTTGAGATCTTAAATGATGTACTTATTTGCAACGAAGAAAATCGATTCATCTCCCTGGATATAGTCCTATAACGGCCCTTCTAGTACAAGTTGAAATGTCAGTTCAGTTTGATTTTTTTTTTTAAAATTCAGTTAAGTTTATTTTGATTCGATATTTCCGTTTTGGACCTTTTAATGGTGGATTTTTAATGTGTGATAGTTAAGTTTGTGTTCAATAGTAAACTTCTTAACCTTTCCCTATATTCTCCTTTCCTCAAACTAAGTAACAATTGTTTATCCGAAAAACGGATAGAGTTGAATTTGTATGTAGTTCTAAGGATATGTGATATAACTTGACACAAATCGTAAATGTGAACAGAAATATCGAATATTGACCGTAAAGAGTAAAAAATGAGCAAGGTTGAAAGGAGGATGATTTAAGGATTGAGCAAGATGAGTCAATCTATGAAGCTAAAAGAGGATAATTCTTCAGTATGAGAATATATGTGTTCTGAGTTACAGTGTATGCAAAACTTGATCTTTACAGAAATAATAACCAACCTATTTATAGTGGAGGGATCCTACTTTAGATACAATTAAAAATACATAGTGGGAGACCCATGATAAATCGATTTTTTCCATAATTCCTGCCAAGATTCTCTCTCCTAATGCGGTTGCAACGGCTCTTGTCTATGAGCCTGATATTGTCTCGAGCTCGATATCGACTCGACCTATCGATCTTGACTCGAGCTTGATTCTGATTCGGAGCCTTGTATTGATTCGGGGACAGTGTTGGTCGGTCTCTGCCTCGTAAGCTCGGTAACTTCATCATAGTTCGATTTGGATTTGAGCTCGACATTGATCGGTCCCTAGGGCTCGAAGCTTGATGACCTGACTTCGAACCTCAACCTGATCTTCGATCCAATGTATTACCAATTTAACCAGTTCGTACGAAGGACTAACCGAATTTTACTGTATACAGATAGTCCCCTCGTTTCTCAGGAAGGATGTAGCAAGAAACGACATGATTTTTCAATGGTACGATTAGATATATACTGATGTTTGCATCGAATCTGATCATGATGTGCATGATAGTTGTCCCGTCGGTTCAGTTTATCTAGGCATTTAATGTGTGTCATGCTGTAACGACTCGGCCGATCATTTTGAGTATTACAACCATATTCCTCATTTACTGCTCAATTTATACTTTTCATTTGTTATGTAACTTGTCGGGGGTAATTGGTTCGGATCCGGTGAGGTTTTTGAATGACTTGGAATACCCAGTTCCAAGGTTTCGAAATTAAGTTGAAAGGGTTGACTTATGTGTAGTGACCCCGGAGAAATTTTGCTAAGGAAATTAAGGTTTTGTGGTGCCGAGGTAGATCAATTAATACAAAGGTTATAGAAATTTCTCGCTGCGAGCTTGCTCGCCGCAGCTCAGACTTTTTGGGTTGAACAATGCACCAATGTGTAAAGAAAATATTTTGCCGGAAAAAGGGTCATTTATGCGACCACTATGCGGTCGCAGAATCACTCCACGGACCGCATAATGGTCGCAAAGTGGATCAGGAGTGGGGCATGTGTGGAGGAAAATTTGCGGCGCATTATGCGGTCACAGATCAGTTATGTGGTGTATTATGCGACCGCAGAACAGGTCTACGGGCCGCATAATGACCGCAGACTGAGGCAACCTTGCCCAGTTTCGGAGGCCACATTTTGCGGCCATTTTGTGAGCCGCAGAAGCGTTATGCGGTCGCATATGCGACCGCATAGTGTGTTTCGGGGCTTAATTTTTCTGGTTTTATAAACCCGACCATATTCTTATAAAACACTATTGGGGTCATTTTGAAGGATTTTATCTGATATTTTAGAGAGAAGTGAGAGCATTTTAGAGAGAGAAGTGAGAGCATTTCACAAGGATCTTGCTAGGGCTTCAAAAAGGTAATAATTTATTTTTCCAATTCTTCAATTTTGGGTTTGGAGTAAAGATGGGTGATTAATAGTATGATTCTTGGGTGTAAGAGACTTATGTATACATACCCATAAGGTTGTAAAAGATTGTTAAGTTCAAATAGATAAAGATTGGGTTGAAAATGGTACAAATCTTCATACACTTTAATTGAAGATTTGA